GTTGGTCCGTTTGTCTTGTTGGTCCATTTGTCTTGTTGGTCCGTTTGTCTTGTTGGTCTATCTGTCTTGTTTTAGCCAAGTTTTAGTCCCGGACTTTGGTGTGTGGTGTTTACCTTATTGGAGTCTTTGCACAAAACAAAAGAAGTACCTTAATGTATCTCCGTTCGTGTAGTTCGTGTATAACCATTTTGGTTGGTGATATTTTCTAGGGTCCTTTAGTGGCAAATTTATTTATTAATTATTAGGATTATATATAATGAATGTTTGTAAATTGTTTTTGGCCCATGCAAAATGTTTTTCGGATTTTATTGTTACTTTTTATTTGACACGATCTGAAATTCGTATTTCGTATTTGCTGTTCAGTGCGGGCTTTCAGCACTGCCTACCCCAATTTTACAGGTAACCTTGTGAGCATTTTTTGCCCTTTCTTTATTTCTTTCCTCACTTTATTTCTGTAGAGTTTAAGAATGATCCCTGTTATTAGTCAATTGTAGAATATCCGCATTTTATTATATTTAATGGTGTTAATTTGTCATAGATTTGGAGGACAATTTGATATTTTAGCGATAGAAATTAGGGAGTTTTGTCTCGAAATGCAAGAGTTCTATGATTTCTATTTCAAAGACGGATTTGCGCCAGGGAGATGAAATTAGTTTGGGATTTTTGCCCTGCACGACATGTATTTTTAACACTGTATACTCAGTATATGCCCCCGAAGGCTTGTGAAAAAACCCACAAGCGTACATGTACTCGAGTGGGACTCGAACCTCCTGCTTACTAGTGCAGACGTCTTAACCACTCGACCACCAAGCTCGCCGGTGTCAGCTGGCTGGTTCGAATCAGATGTAGCAGCAGGTACAGCGAACAACTATTTCAAAGATGGATTTGTGCCGCGGAGATGAAATTAATTTTGGATTTTTGCTCTCCCTTACGTGTATTTAAAAAAAAAAATAAAAAAAAAAAATTCTATGACTTTGTCATTAATGTCGTTGATTTACAGAAAAGCTGTGTGGCTTTTGTGTATAATTTTTGGTCGGTGCATAATTTTTTGACATAGCTGTTGAAATTTTGTGAAGGAAAGACTAGGTTGTGGAATAAATGTGCTATGGAATGTTTGGACTTGGGACTTTTGTGTGTATTTGGGTATGGGTGCGCGTGTATAGAGGGGCTTGTGGGGTACCGGAACAATGGGAAGTACCCCATAGGGTATTTGTAGGGTACTGAGAGGGTACCCAATAAGGATTTCATGAAATACACTAGATATTTCAAATTTACTCAAAAAGGAGGAATTTTCAAGTGTCATTCATGTGTCGCAAAATGAATTATTTTAAAGTGAATCTGGTTCAAAAGAGAGTGATTTGAAAATTTTGGTGTGTTATATGGGAGGTTTGTACACAAGAACAAAGGGAATACCCCACAAGTACAGCTGTGTAAGGTTGTGTGGTTGTGCTGGATTTTCGGGGATGGTTGCGGGTGTGTGTGATGTGTGTGCTCGGTTGGCCAGCGCACGGGTCAGCCTGTGTATTTGTGCTTTCACCCTTGGAGTCCCACACATCCCCCCCATCACCTTTGTAGTACATTAATAGTACATTAATAGGACATTACATGTATTAATTAATGACAGGGCATTTCTTTGAGTGTAATAAGCTTGCCTTTTTTGTCTGTGTTACAAACAACCATATGGAAACCAGGCTTTACAAACTATACATGCGGCTGGGCTTTATGTGCATAACCACACTACACTGAAAGCAAGTGTAAACATGATCTGGCAAACTAAATTCACAGGGGCAGCTGATTGGTTTAACAGTCAAGCATTCCCAGCGTTTTCAGTGGTGGAAGTTTAAATATATTTAATCCCCCATTTGCTTTGCAAACACAAAATGTCTAGGAAGTTTTTTAATGTGGTGTGCTGAAACTGGACTTTACCACTGCACATCACTCCATCGCAGGGCCTCATGATATTGGAAAGTACATGTACCATACAAGCTTGTGAAAAATTATACATGTATCATACAAATATATGACTCTCAACAGCCAGCATTATTAAAGAAGTGGGCTGATATATCTCACCTTTTTCAACCTTCAGGGGGACCAAAAATGACGGGAATTTTAGCTTCTGGATAACGCCTTACCTCCTTCCTGTGACAATGAAGAGCAACGAGTTTGCATTTCCAGGAAGGAAGGTGACCCAATGTACCCATTGATGACATCCAGGAAGAAGTCTGGGGGATTGTTGTGTTCCTCACACTGAAAGCCTGAAGAAAAAAATCAGTCGCAAGAACAGCCTTTATGATCAAACTTCCAATAGTCTAAAAAAGACATGGCCCTACACTCTGTAGAATGTAACAATTTTATGGTGTCACTTGTGCAGGATTTTCTCTAGACTCTAGACCTCTCTTGAGTTTAAAACGCCATAACATGTAGTTTTGCATGACACAAGTGAATAAGTATCACAAAACGCAACAGTTTTGGCAACTTGCAATATTGATATCCCGTGACCTTGAATAAAAATCGTGCAGCGTGAAATCCAGTTACACTATACACTATTTTAACAGTGGCACACTGATGTGTTGCATATCTTGACTAGGAGACCTCATCAGAATCTTGAAAAAATTTTAATCTATATGTGATTGACTATCATTAGTACCAAGTCTGCTGGATGTTGCCAAAATGTTTGTTCTATCCAAATTTCATAGTAAGTGGGACGCTGGCTCTCCCATTCACTGTGCACACAGTGTATGTACATGTACTTGTGCCTGTACACTGCCAACAGTTGCACACGCTGGAAATAAAAAAAACACTTGAACTAATGACTGTAAATAAAGTTGACATATTTACAATAAAACTGGAAAACCATGACTGCCAATAATGGAAGCACTACCAACAGGTGTTGAAACTGCACTGAATCTGCATGCAGTAATTGAGTATTGAAAAGACAAGGTGAATCCAACTTAAACAGAAGCAGCCCATCATCAGTTGAAAAGAGCCATGTCACAAGGGGGTGGTCATTTTGTTGGTAGCGACACAACCCTAACGCATACATTTGTTTGTGAAACAGTGAAGTACAGTTAGATCGATTAGATAAATTGATTTATTCAGCCAATGATCATGATGAAAACCACTCATAATAGGAATTTGTAATGTTGGACCTGCAAACAATGCACTTCATAAATCTACATGTAAATACACAATTAAATCTAAAACACACATACCGGTACTTAAAAAATTGATCACAACAACTATACACACGTTAGACAATGCTCACCTAAAATCACTTAAATCAAAACACTGAACACACTTTTACAATTACAACAATTACTCTGGCACATTTATAAATTTAAAACCTAGTTATTAAAACCACTGCAGCAAGGGAATAAAACTATTCTATGAACAGTTAATTTGTATACACATTTTATACATAAAAATTCTCATTGTTAAAACCTGTATGGTCAATGGCATGAAACTATCCCTGAAATGGTTGGTTCTTGCACGTACTGATATCGACCTTTTTCCTGAATGCATCGTATCAAAATAATCATTAACCGGAAGACAGATATTCTGAACAATGTTTTTAACCTGCTTCCTTATTCTCTTTAATTGTCTGCATATCATCTAAATTGAGTTTAGCAGTTTCAAACTCAGGTGTGGCATTGAACCAGACAATATTAAAGCTGGTCAGGCAAGATTCACATACGTATCTGTAAAAATTAATCAAAATACATCTACTCTCACCATTTAAAGGATTTCAGTGTACATTAAAAATACATCCGTTGTTGGGCCTTTTTCAAATTTTCAGGCACTTGAGTTGACCAGACAGGGTTATCATTATAAATGTACAAAATATTACAAAATACAAAATATTACTGCTCGGTTGCATGCTTATGGGTCTCCCTGTATAATTAAGCCACCCACCAATGGATTCAAAGAACTGAAGGACATCCTCTACTGGTCCATGGTACACAGTCTCTCCCCTGCTGAGCAGATGCAACTTGTCAAAAAGACGGTATATGGAGAACCGTGGCTGATGAATGGAAAAGATGATAGTCCGCCCTCTCTTGGCCAAACTGGGAAGAGGACAGCCCCCAAAACAAGTTAAGTGGCATTTTTATGAAGCGGAAGTTCCATAAAAAATTATTAACCTAAAATTGTAACTTTCGAAAAAATGAAAGATATAAGGCCCCCCAAGGCTCCGGTTTCCAGTCAGCAGCTGGCTCCAAAAGTGGTGCTGCAATGCAGCTTTTATTTGCCCTCACTTTTTTATTCCTAGAAATGATGTACATATAACGCACAATGTCCATCACTGCATGCATACGTACCGCTGCTACCAACACAGAAATAGACTGGCCCCACACTACCGGTATTTACTGTTTAAAAGCGTTTTCAGCTGGTAGATGTACACGTACAAAGGGCATATTAAAGACCACCTCGTTTGGCTGGTTCCCAGATGTAAATGTATAACACAGACATGGCGTCATCTGAAAAAAGTGCATGACTAAATAAAATGGGGGCCTAGAGGGACTCCTTTACTGAACATATTACTCAACCATACCCCATCTAAAACATGTTACACGTAGTAGAAGGATCAAGCAAGTTTGGCAACTTTTGGACTCATTTTACAAAATAAAAAAAAAATAATTTTGCCGATGCACAGGTCTACAGTGACACACATTGACCAGAAACCAGGGCCTTTGTTTAGGGCCGATTGGCCAACTTTTAATATAAAGCTATACATCACAGATAGTCACTCATAGTGATTTGAACACCATTTGTACAATGTTTCTGTGTTGTTCAATGTTCTAGGTGTGCTAACGAAGCAATTTTTGCTATTACAACAGACTATGCACAGCTGACAGGTTGATCCACAGACTTCTTGAATTTTGTGTGTGTACAAAACACGAGAGATTAACGTGTTTGAATGTCAGCTTGAGGTGGATCAAGACATGCTTGACATTTTAACATTTTTATTTTTGTAACAAAGTTGTTACTTTACTTTGGGTGACTGATTACTGTTTTTACGTGGTTGTTGTACATACAGTTTATATTTTAGTTACCTTTCACTTTCACTTACTTTTTAGCTCAACCATGAGTTCTTTTTAATAACAGGGCCACTTGAAAAGTAATTGCAGTTGAATGGGTTACCATGAATAAGTTTAAATAAATGAATAAATAAACGTGTTAGCCATGCCTGCGTGTACTACATGTACATATAGCCGATGCACTTTTACACATTCGCTTGCATGCAACTCCAATGTTAACAAAAGCAAGTTTACACTTGAAGGTTCTGTTACACTTGCTGAATGCAGTACCTTGTCAAGAGTATTATAACAGCATTGGCCGTACTGGCATCCAAGCCAGTGGTTGGTTCATCCAAGAACAGCACTGATGGCTTAGTGATCAGTTCCATACCAATGTTGGTCCGCTTCCTCTCCCCACCAGAGACCCCCCGGATGAACTCAGTCCCAACCTGGTGACAGACAAGAAAGGGAAATCTGATTTGTGAAAAACTGCTTTTATATTCATGTATCATTACAAATGCCTCTCTTGTCTGTCGCAGACTAACCCACACACAGCAGAGTGATCTTGCACCTTTCCATTCACTAAATACCAGTATGCTGGTCTCCAATACAAGCCATACATACCGTACAGACAAATCCAGCAAGCAGAATTACATGTAGAAGAAACTAATGAGGTGGCACCACGCTCACAGTAACTGTACTGGCATCCAGGCCAATGTATCCAACTACAAGAATCATTCTTCCTGTGATACTGTGTGCTGGAACCTCAGTAGTACATGTACGTGTAGCTTCTTACCCGATTGATGATCTTGATATAGATTATTACATGCACTCTGCCTTCAGCCAAGTTTCATTACACCCCAGAGATGTCTCTAATATGCATGGAATGAATGTATTCAACGGGCACTCCTGATGTACGTCCACCATTGATACAAGCAGACTGCAGCGCCGTGCAAAATTTAGGATTTAGGCAAACCATCACAGTTTTTACTGATCGCTATGCTATTTGATTAAAAATTTACGATGATTTTGCATTTAATTATGCCTGTCTAGTTTGCAACATGCAACGTACATGTATGGTCACACACCAATGCTTACCTACTGCCATGGCAACCGATCTCAAGGAAACAACATGGTATTTGACCTTTCTTTTTTTATCATACCCTGTTGGTAAGTATGATCAATTCAAAACAAAGTTCCTCCAGTCAATATCCTGGGTTGTCACTGGTAAGCTCTTATGACAAGTAGTTTCAATACCTTTACAGAATAATCTGATTGGAGGATATTTTTTGCATTTGACATGTAAATATGGTGTAGTTAGAACAAGTCTTTCTCTGAAAACCACAGAAGCATAATTGCCCCGGCACACCGACATCTTTGATCCTAACTTTATCATATCCTTTAAAATCCTTCAGGTTTTTAAAGGGTTTTGCAATGTTGACAAGGTCAACAGCCAAGCAAAACTTAGTTTGCACAGGACTTGATTTCTCCTGAACATACTGGCACAAAAAACCATGCGGTTGGTTTCCTGCACAGTGAAGGATTTGGGGAGGTTCCAAACATTGATGCTGATAAATTTACATGTATAGGGCTGAAGTTACATGTACATGTACCTACCTTTGAATTAGCACAATCGGCGAGGCCTAGCTCAATAATCACATCTTCTACACGCTCTTTTCTCTCTTCATGGCTGACATGACCCTGCAGACGTAGAGCTGCTGAGAAGGCGAGATTCTCTCGGACTGTCAATGTTCCCATGACAACATCATCCTGTACAATATTATTGACATTATAAAGATTTTGGAAAACTACTTTAACAGCATTGACAATGACTCTGTGTCCAGCTTCAGAAAAACAGTCTGATTCAGTTCAGTTCAACATTTTGAAAAATGCCTTTGTCTTTGGTGGTTGACCAATAATAGGCTGATCAAGGCAAGTTTGTGAAATCTTCCACTTTTGACTTCTTTGCCACAACTTCAAGTACCTCAAGTGACTACGCTAAGTTACACAATAATGAGTCAATGTAAGTCTTAGGTTTACAAACTGAATTTTAAAAGTTCCATTGTATGATGTATATCATGGGCATGTAGCCTAGTGGTCAAGGTTACATGTAAAAGTGTACCATGAGCATGAGACACGTAGATACGGTCAGTGTGTTTTAGGTATCTGCATCTGAAATGGTAGCATCAGACTGCATACTCCTCAGGGAGCCGAGACGGTTTGAGGAATGTTCAGATGTGCAATGTTGTGAGCCCCAATAAGAAGGAATAATAATCTTTTAGCCCCTTTGAATGATAAATGTACACAATTCAAAATACTTTGCACCTTATACTGTTATACTTGGACCATAAACTTTTGAATTGGGGTTCTGTAATTGAACAAATTTTCTAAAACTGGTGACAGGATCTGATGTATTGGTAATCTGCATAGGTTGCAGGCAGTAGACTGTGATGTTCAAATTACATGTACATCCTGCAAAGCACATTCATGTACAGTAAGGATGAATGCAGTCAATGAAACTTCTGTACATCTTGCATACACATACAAGTACATGTACGTGTACATGTAGGGCTGTACATGGGATGAAAGAATAAGATGCAGTGCAAGGATGATGATCTGAGAATTCATTTCATCCCCTACCCCAATTGGTGTAGTCTTCCATGAGCAGATAATGTTGTCACATTATCACCAATCCAGATCTCCTTCAAAGTGTCTGAGGCACTGAGATAAATGCACAGCCAAGGATGTTGGTCAGTTTTCAAGCTGCATGTGCATCAGTGTTTCCCCCAAAGCGTTATAGCATAGCGGCACTGCTACGCTTTAACGAATTGCCGCTAGAATATTTGACTGGCCGCTAGGCTTTATTTTTTACTGCTACGCTTTAAAATTGAACCCTATGCTTAAAATGGTGCCATTAAATTACCTTTAACGCTTGCTACAAAAATATTTAATTTTCTAAACACGACGCTGTAAGTGACGGCCGCGCAGTACAGGCAGCCAGCTGGACACACAAGCACGCACATACTGTACATGTGCATGCACATGTACTGAACATGGCGCATCGTTCTTTTGGAATAGAAAAAGCGAGCGAATTTTGTGATGTAAACAACAGACACATAACAGGTCTTCTAGTGTTACTAGTGCACCATGCTTCGCACTCAATTTCACGCAAAATACAATCAGCCCAAACTCATGTGTTTTTTTCATGACTGTCTACCGACTTGGATGAAGTCTAAACGTCGTTGGTGCGCCGGACAATATACTATATCACAAGTATCCGCTGCAGTAAGTTAACAAAAGTTAACGAATGCGAAATTGACGTCATCAAAATTTTGCAGCTAAATACTCACACATATCATGTTGAAATATTGACATATGTTCAACCTTTTGCAATTTTATTTTTGACAATGAAAGATAATCTCATTTTTCCTTTTTTCTATAATTCCCGCGAGGCCTATAAGTTTTACATTTATCACACAACTGTTTTCTTAAAGTATTTTGTATGTCTGAGCCTTATTTATCTTAGAGATAAAAATACACTTTCAGACTTGACTATCACCATGAACCACCATGTACAAAAATAGAAGAATATCAATTATGTAAAATAATTAAAGGGCCAATGAAATAGGATTTGTATTGCTTTTAAACATGCAAGAGTCTTAACCCACTGTCAACTTGGACAATTGCTCATGACAGGTATGAGCTGTAATGACAACTGTTGTTTTTATGTTAATGAGAATTTCCACATTCATTTGCAATCTGTGAGCCAAATCTGTGAGCGGAATATCCCCCCCCTCACTCAGCCTTTTCCTGACCCAGACCCACTATGCTTAAAGAAATTCCTGAGGGAAACACTGTGCATGTAATCAGTTGTACTAGTCACAGTACAATGGTAGACTGGACCACAACAACAAATCCAAAAACTTCGGTTACTGTACATGTATACACATACATGTATACCACACGTACATGTACATGTCATGCACATGTACATGTCAATGGCATCCAAGTTTCGCTGCATTAAAGGGGATCGGCCATGTAGGGTTAAATTGACGTCATATGATGGTTTTCAACTGTCTTATATAAAATAAATTGCATTAACTCCTCTTTTATCTCATTAAATCAGCAAAAATTGGCATTTTTCTATGTGCATTTTTCATTCTCCACCTGGGCTCTTCACAAAAACTTATTGAAATCGGTTAATGAGAGCAGCAGACAAATCTTGGCGAAAATGTGACACCATTGGACGGAATCAACTTTCCAGACAAGAACGCATACCGGTAGTTCTGGTAAGACAGTTGATAGGTCCGCGCAAGAATAATATTCTCTGCTCTGGCGCGTAGAGTACGTAACTCGTATGTGTCAAGTCAACCACATTTCGTCGGGTGCCCGGCAGAAGGGCATAAGTGCACTTAGGTCTTTTTGCAGCGAAGCAGGATCACAGCAGAAAAAATGTTCCTGGCAAAAGGAAGTAAGAAATACACTCTCTTTATTTAGTAAAAACAGATATAATTTATACAAAATCAACCTGAGCTGTACAAAAAGCAATCTTTGAACAACTTATTAAAAGACTTGGGCATTTTTTTTTTACTTTTTGCCAAGAAATCTTCACATTTCATTAAAATACAATAGTTGCATACTTTCGTCCTTTTGCCACAAACAGTTTGCAGTGATCATGCTTCCTGGCAAAAGGGCATAAGCGCTGACGCCCTTCTGCCGGGCACACAACAATTTGATCTTGTTTCTTATGTCCTTCTCTTAACACAGGGCAAAACTATTGGACAACTTGATGCATTGCGTTAATTTTGTTTTGCATCAAGCCGTACATGTGTAATAATTTCTATCGTGAATTGTGAATTTCGAAAGAATGCTGATAAACTCTGTTGTCAGAGGCTGTTGTCGCAATCAAAGCAGTTTTTATATCTTCCCAAGCAACTTTTCACACCAGCATTTGCGGGTTAGATTTGTGGATAACACACGATCAGATTTTTACGAGGACTCAAAATTCCAAAATGCATGTGCATGTTTATATACACGTATCATTACTGACACGTATACACCCATGTATGTACTACACGATGTAAAATGGGACTATATTGTACTGGCGCACGTGAACTATTTCCAGTGCAATTAATGCCGCACGGTCATGCCAAGCAAGTGACTTGTAGTACACAGTGAAAACAAATTGTCGGAATGGAACATAAACTTTGACGAAGTAGGCTAGCCTATAACCATACAAGAACTACTTCTACTATACAGCTTTTGAATAGCCAATGGTAGGACAATTACGTCTTTTCAGAAAGACAAATTTTTATAATGGTGCAGGAAAAAATCATGACCAGTCAATGCTTTGCCATAGATCAAGTCAACGCCATGCCCATGGCTAACAGCCTCGAGTTGCAAAATCTCTTCCTGAGTGTATTCTGGTTTGAACTGATAAGGCAATATTGTGCCTCATCAGCTCCTTCAATGTCGCTTTCTTCGTCAAATGAATAAGACGAACATGACAACTGATTGCTGTCATGATTGGAAAAAGTATCAAAGCTGGAATTAACGTTGCTTGAGTCTGACATGATGGCACACGCTATCACTAATGCTACTACTACATTATGTACATGTCGACGCATCGTTGCATAACATTAAACAGTCGCCGGATAAAGGACTCCGTCCTATGATGTCACAATTCCAGGGAATTTCTTCAGACAACTTTCTGTACCCGAAGGCTGTTGTTTAGCTTTTGCTCTGAGATGGGAGTGAAATAGGGTCGTGAAACTGAAAACTATAATTTTAACAAATTTCTGTGCATTTTGAAATTATTCAGATGTGTTTTCTTCTTAAATATATGTTTGTTTTATGCGTTGATGCATGTTTTACAAGAAATCTTCCGAGCACGGTCCATCCCCTTTAACACATGCACATACATGTATGCATATAATATACTGTACAACAGTGTTCATGTACATACATCTTACTTTATGCATAATATGTACATCAAGCACAAGTAAGGAGTTCCGTGTCAGCCGACTCCAACAACATACATGTAAAGTACCGGTACCTTTAATATTTCTGTTCTCTTCTTTTAAGTGCCGTACTTTATGTGCTTTAAGCCTCCAACATCATACTTCCAACAACTTATCACACCACAAGCATTTGCAGTGTCCAAACTTGATGTTATTGTGTGCCTGGTATTCAGGCATTTTTTTCCACACAACTAGAAGTGCGAACAGCTTACTTATATCTGTGAGATTACTCAATCATGGAAGAATGTAGCAGGAAGTGTGAATTTTGATTGAGAAAGGAATGTGATTATATATGGTGATTATACATGTACATGAAGGCATCTGCAATATGGTGTTGAACATAAGGAAACTCTGACCAATTACATGTAAGTCCAATACACTTGGCACCATGCCAACATGGCCTGTAATGTTGAGAACAGTGATAATGATTATTTTCAACGCTCTAGGTAAAAACTTCATATTAAAAAAAAAATGCTGCAATTCCAACTTTTATAATTCAACACTCATATCTAGTTTTTGCTGCCTTTTTTACACACTTTCCCAATAAACAAGTTCCTCCTGTAAAAAAACAAATTAATCACCCTAGAAAAACAAACAGAGCAATCAATCATGGAGAAGGGACCCAGTACCTGGACAACATAGCCAGACACACACTTGAAGTTTGACGGCTGTGGGGCACCATCTACCAATACAGTACCAGTTAATCCCCGGGGATCCTTCCGTCTAGCCAAAATGTCTAAGAGCCTGTCAAATAAAAAAAAAGCAGATCAGGGAAGGAAAAAATAAAGATATCTTGTAGTGGACGTCCCTGACTCAGTAGGAATATGGGTCAATGGGACGTAGTTTATTATGTTTGTTATTTACAGTAGATTGTGACACCATGAGAAGGGAAAATATTTGGTCAATTTACAACTAATCCTCACCAAGAACTCTTACTGGTTCTGTTCCTCGATCACAGAACAGTACCAGATGGCCAGCTCAAGCCTGTAGGATAATTTTCAGATTAAATACTTCAGCAGGTATTAACAAGAGTGTAGGACTATACTGACCAATCCTTGCACAAGTAACTGCTTACAGTTAAACCAAAAGATATCAACGAATCCTTGACAATACTTTCAATTCCAATAAATTAAGTCGTTATTGAGACAGCTGAGTGTAACTGAATATGGTCATGTCCTTTTGTTAATCCCTTGAGGATGAAATGGCAGGCACTAGCTAATCCAGTTACAAAAACCCTAGGAATTCACACACCAGTGATTTATGAGAAGTTGCTGACTTGGCACAGTAGGTGTTTGCCATTACATTTCTTGTTAGTACCAGTAATAGTGCCCATTTTCAAAGCAAGCTTCTGAATTGACTTAACTGCTTTTGCTGGTACACTGTCAATGATACCATACAATTACCATACATGTACATGTACATACTGGTACATGCATTTCTTTGAGGAAAGCACTTGAAAAATTGAAATCTTTTTCTCCATATGAGAACCATGGAACAAAAAATCTCACTTACTGTGAAACTAACCATATCTGTAAGCAGTTTTCATAATCAATTCACACTTTTTCTGCTGACATTATGTATTCTTTTTAGAATACCACTGTACTGTGTCCCATCTACCGTTTATTTACATATTCTTATGTAATGTACCGTATAACTTACGATGTTTTTCCACTCCCTGTTGGACCCAGAATTGCATTCATTCCTGGCTGGAACACTCCACTAAAGGTGCAAAGTATTGAAAGCAGGATAAGAACTTAAATTTCCCTCAAAAAACCCCCAGAAATAAACAGGAAAGAGAAAGCTTACAGATTGAAAGCATGTAGTACAAGTTTTGAGGGATATTTGCTGCTTATGTTTATTGTCAAGGTTGATGATTCTACAAAGAAACTATTTGATCTATACTGTACATGTAGATGCCAATATGTAAAAGAAGACGATAAACAATATGTACTGCAGACTTACGTGATATCCCTCAAGATGCATTTCGTTACTTTTCTCTTGTTCACTTTGATATCCACTTTGTAGTTGATGTTATGGAAGGATATGGTTGAACCACATACCTGCAGATCCTGGACAAAAAAAAAAGAAAAGCTGTTTCATATTGAGAGTAATGAAATCATGTACCGGTACATGAATGCATACTGTACTTAGTTTTGAGAGCCTTATGTACAAGTACATGAATGGTATACTGTACATGTACAGGTCTCAACATAGAAGCAAAATGTACATACATTCCAGCATATCACTTACAAACTTATTTAAGCTGTGCATCTGAAATCAAGCTTACAAACTGCACAACTTGAATAACAAATTTTGATAAACCCCAAAAGAGCTAGCTTCACGTTGTTTCGGACCATCTCAAAGCCAGGGGATGGAACCCCCCTCATGGCTGCTGCATATCATTTTTAAAAACTTGTGCTACAGCATATAAAGACTTCAATACGAGTATGATATTATATCGGCACCTTTGAATTACAGCGCAGTAAGATACTACGCACCTTATTAATACTCTGCTTTTATTCATGTCATTGTTATTATGCTTGTGAAGTTGGAATGAAGTCTAACATGGGCTTTTGTTGCATGGTCATTTATACCAGTAGTTCATGCCTTGAAGTATGGTATGTCAGCCTGCGTGCACTGACCACATTAATGGGAAAAGTTAACATTGTTAGCTGACATTTCAGCAGTAATGGACACTTGTGAGGACAGTATGTCAAATTTTCATAAAATTGATGGCAAAATGATTGTTAGACTTACATGCACATAACTGAAAAAACTCATGGAGGTTCTGCACAAAAAAATGTACCATGACAATATTAGAGAAAATGTCAAGATGGGGCCAGAGGCAGATTCCTCCACTGAGGTTAAGCTGTATCAAGAGTTCATTCTCCCCCCCCCCCATCATTTCTTCCTCATGGAAGAAGGAAGGTGGGAAAGAACGGATCAAATTCCTCAAGAAAGCATACCCAGTGACTCCAACCCTGGTTCCATATTGACACCATTTACTGAAATGTAGTACTCGAGTATAGTAGCACAGGTACATGTACACTGTACCAAAAAAGTTCATTTTAGTTCCACAGGACAATGAATTAGCACTTTTCCCTATGGTCCAGAAAAACAAGATTGTTTCACGGACCCTAATATTCACTAAGCACGACTTTCCGAAGACCAGTAGTCCTTACTTTATAACACTGGTGTCAAAACATCAGCAAAATATCAGTCCAAACAATTTTGGACTCTACACATTATGAATGGCAGAAAGGAAATAATTGCCACTTGCTGGAACATTGTAAGTTGCTTCCACACGCAAGATAACAGACAATTCCACACTGTCACTCCCAGCGCGTATCCGTACACCAACTAGAACATGCACATGTACCGTTACATGTACATGTTAGCTGAATGTCTTCAACATGTTCAAGCATCATTCTTCATATCTGCCCAAAGGGTCTTTCTGTCAAATTATTCCTTGATCCTAATTCTATTCAAGGCTGCATCTGATGGGCTCCCTGCTAAATTTAATGAGAGTCCAATCCTACGTGTACATACATGTATACATGAAGCTAAGGCTTCCATAGCAAATGAAATCAGATCCAAGAAAATCCTACGGTCCAAGAATGCATGGCCAACAAACCCATGTGAAAACAAAGACTGTTTCTCTGCTCATGTAAAATTGTACATGTGCACGTAGATCCAAGAAAATTTTCCAGTATATTTGCTCGCTCATTGGCAGCCCAGTTCAGCTACATACTAATGTATAAGTTGTCCCCCCCCAAAAAAAGTTAACATAGAAAACCTTACCATACTTTGCTGACACTCCATCTCAATACTCTTTCTGCTGTACCTTTTGCAAAGCCTCAACAGATCACAACCTACCGGTATATGTTACATGTCCATTCAGCAATGCTTCACAAGTATGGTCATCTGTCTTTCTTAATATTTATCACTGGCAATAATTGTACAAAATGCTGGTACAATGAAACATGCTATTATACTAGTGCATGCCAGCAGCTAGTTGGATTGAAGCTTTTCCCCATTGTTTATGATACAGTCAATTCATTGACGGTCTGCTGATCCTATCAATCTATGCAAGATCTTGCCATGATCACTTGTGTCTATAGAGAGTAAGAAAAAAGTTTATCAATTCATTCTGGGTTCAAAACAGCTTATAAAAGCTTCATAATCTGAATCTTCAACATGAAACGGACATGAAACTTACATGTATAATATTGTAACCAAAAAACATATATAATCTACATACTGTACATGTACATGTATTTTTCTGAAGTGAATGAAGGTAACACATCCCTGGTTTTTGGTTGATCTTTTTCTGCACGTTATTTTAGAACAGCTTGTAAAAAGTTGCCAAACTGCTCCAGCCAAACAAAGTCAGGATTGCAGATATATTGCTTGAGGCTCACTTTCAGCAAATCACTGCATAAACCCCAATTTAAAGGAAGGGGACACCGTTGGGTTTTTTGTCATACACTGTACATGTGCTTTCACAAGATTGGTGATTATGGTGTATAAGATTCACTGCAGCTTTGATTCCACTGACTTGTATCATGTTTGAGTCAACTGCTGTGTGAAAATCAAGAAAAACAGTGCCGCAGTTTCAACAATTTTTGCATGTAAATCGAAGATCTTGTAATTTATCTTAGGAAAAATACAAGGTAAGCAAACAACATCTGCAGGGTCAGGGTGGGGAACTGGCATGACAGCTAGGTTTCTCTACAAGAAAATCAGCGCCAGTTAATGAATGTGGTGTCCGAAGTGAAATGAACAATTAAAAAATGGTTAGCTGATCGTCCACTGTGTAAAAAGAGAACAAAATTTTTGTTTTCTCAAAACCTCCAGCATTCTGGGCAAAAATACCGGTATTTTACACCATAACAAACTGTTATGTACCGGTAATTGTTTTAAGTAGGATATTCCAGGATTATATGGTAGTTCTATTTGGGGGATTTTACCAGTGGTGTAACCTACAGTACCTTTAAGTACTTTACTACAAACGTTGCTCAAAAAGTCTGCTCACTGATGATCACTGACATACAGTAATAAGCAATAAACACAGAATTCACCTTACAACAGACCGCCAACATGCAGACTTTATTCATAGCAAAACAGTTGTGACAGTGAAGATTCTGCCTAAAACTGCATCATCACCTCATCCATGTACATGTATATGTATGTATATGAAGTTTAATTCAGAAGAAATGGCCCACAAAATAAAGGCTCAATTCAGGAAATACATGTATGTGCACTGGTATGCCGGGTAAATGGAAATCCAGGCAACATGATGACAAATGCATACATGTACCATACTTAGACTCAGTTGATGTTCTAGTCTACATATACATGTAAGCACACATTTGCCAAGCAATATCTCTGAAGAAAGTAGGCCAGGTATAAAATAATCCCCCCTTCAGACCAGGCATTTGTGTCAACAAAGCTTGAGTGAACACAACTCCAAAGTAATAAAAACAGACTAGAATGTCCTACTGTGACTAGAGTCCAAACTGTCACTTCAAAAACAGGGTTCAAGTCAAAATGCTTCCATTTCAATATTGCTCCCTGTCTTGCCGGAGGGGGGGGGACGCTTGCACCTTCAGCAACAAGTGCTGACAATCCAAGTACATTTAGAAGTGCCTCTAATCCAGACTGCAATTTGTGAATGTGAGTGCATGATGATAATAATGCAATTTGCAGCTTAGGACTCAGTGGAAATTTTTATGCCAATGACCTCTCAACAGCCAAGGAAGGAGACATACACAAACAAATATCTCAGGAATTCTAATGGATTCAGATAATCCACTTCAATTACTTTGATCTCAACTGGGTTTGTTTTGCCATTGGGACAAACAACAGAATACTTCGTGACGTGCTTTGGGGAAAAACTTTCTACAGTTCATTTAAACATTTCAATTTTTTTTTACATTTTCCGAGCAACTTCCAAACCTCAGAATCCGCCAGCTGTGTGCATTTGAAATATTTAAGTGAACGTGAAACTGATTTGTGGCAATTGAGTGCATGTTGCCTGTATATTTTCAATTTTAACATGGCAAATTTACAACATAACATGTTTATTTCTGAAAATGCTCATTTCTGCTCAATTCATAACTATGAAGATCTGTTCCATCCTCAAAATTCAGGCAGATTCTAGTCTTAGTTTTTAACTCAAGAGGGAAGAAATGCTGCTTTCCGGAGTCCCCAAGTTACAGTAACTTATAAATAGATACTCACTTGGGGTCTGTTTGTTTTACAAATCTGGATCTTGATCCTAAACTTGTTCATGATATCCATTAGGTGAGTTGGTTTAATGTTGACGCGATTCCCTGAATGAGCAGGTACTGTGCATGTATTTGAGTAGTTTGGAGACAAAACATTAGCATTCAGAACATGAAGTAGGTCATAAAAAATACAAACATTTGCAGAAGGCCTCAAAATACAAGTATTTTGGCATTCTGATTTTGTCCCAATACTAAGGGTCCCAAACAAACATACATTGTACATGTACCTTATTTCTACTTTGCTCTTCTGGCATCATTTTCGACACATGCACATACTGTACAGTACACATCGGCCGCACACTGCCTGTTATTTTGGTTCACTTGAACAACTTATGAAAGGGCTTGACTACAAGAGTGCTCGAAAGTTAACTGGACCATAGATTAGGCAAGAATTGTGAGAAATTTCAAAACATGATCCAATACAACCAGAATTCAAACAACATAACGTCATTCTCTGAGTAGACACTTTAAAGGTGTGACTTCCTGCAAGAGTTGACAAATGAAACAAAAGTCTTTCTATGGGCAGTAATCTCAGTTTTGCTTCTGGACAATGAATAAATGCATATACTGTAGGGTACATGTATCCACTAAACAAAGTGAAGAGCATCAGTCACGTTTGCAGACAAGGTTCCTCTACCACAGTACATTTTGGTCAGACAGATGGGGGTGCAACGGAGAAGCTTAAACAGGCAATGAAAAGAACCCTTCTTTCCCCAGTTATAACCTTAATACAACAAGTGACAAGACCATCTTCTAAACTTAACGAGAAGAAATGGAAC